TTCCTGAGTAGTTGGGATTACAGGCACTCACCACTGTATTAGGCAAGGTAGTTCTTCTAATAATGTAAGAGACACTGTCAGTTAATGAAAAATATGCTGAATTGAGATTCAGAAATACTAGGCTGTTGTCACAGGTCCTGTTGGAAGGATTTTGTCCCGTGTTTAATAAATTAGGCACTTAGTTAATAATCTACAATGAGAAAAGTCCCCACCCAATGATCAAAATGTTAATATCCATTGACCAAAACTCTAAATCCAGTCTCTGGGAATTAGGGAGCCGATATTATTTCTGATGGAATTTCTTGTGATTTTAATCCTTCTTTTATAATGTTAGAGGCTTGGATTAGAAAACCTTTAAGGCTCCTTTCAATTTTGAAAATCCAGATTCCTTGATCTGGGTGATGGAAATGGGAAACAATGCAGAAAATGTCGGGAATAGATGGGTTGAGGATTTCATGTGATGAGGTGGGTATCATCCTTTTTTTTATAGATGAAGGAACTGAGATCTCCAGGTGTAGGCAGCTTGCTGAACATCCCACGAGTGGGTGGCAGCACTGGGGCCTGAACCAAGATCTGTTAGACCCTGAGTTTGGGGCTGGATGAATCTCTGCCTTTTCCCTGTTGCATCGCAGCAGTTTTTTTTTTTTTTTTCAAGGCAAGTTAATATTTATTAGACAATAAAATAACTATACCAAAGGATACTTCCAAATAACTTCAAATAAGCTATTAAAGTTAAAAATCTGCCATGTAAATTATGTGATAAACTACTTTAAACACATAATTGACTCAGCAAGTCTTTTTGCAAACTACTTTGGGGGCAGGTGGGGGAACCGCTCAGCTAAATCCCTGGCAAACTACTTTGGAAATTATGAGAAAAAAATTTTTTTCTGTGCTACTTCTTTTTCCCTACCTACTCTGCCCCCATCAATAAATATATTATTATGGACACAAACTCAGGAATTCAGGGCCAGGGATTTAGCTCAGTGGTTCAGCCCCCTGCTTTGCAAGCATAAGGTCCTGAGTTCATTCCCCGGTACCCAAAACAAAACAAAACAAAAAAACGAAACAAACTCAAGAATTCAAGGGGAAAGGCAGTTAATTGCTTAACAAAAATTGTGGCCTAAATTGCACAGAGAAGGAAAAAGTTGAATAGACTTGACCTTTAAAAACAATACAAAAATAAGGTATATAATGAGATTATCTTGGAAAATGGATTATTTTCCCTTTCTACTAGAAATAGCAAAAAGTGTTACATGTTTTTTTCTCTCTCTTTCCCTATTGCATGTTTAATTAGCATAATTTCCAATAGTGTGCATGAAAAAAATTCTAAGCCAGAAGTACTTACATGATCTTGTTCTTCATAACTTTTTTTGGATAATTCAGTGGCCAAAAA